ATATTGATACAATTACAAAAAACCACAATTAATGAGCTGTTCCTGTTTATTTATAAAATATTATAATTAATATTAATATTTGGGGCAAAAATGCTTTCTAACCCTCTGTAGCCTCTACATCTTATAGCCACCCTATCCGCCAAAATGAATATTAATTATGAAACCATTAATGAATATTTAATTTTGGTTTTACCAATTACGCCAAAAATCAATTTAGAAATGTTTTACTTATCAGCCTAAGCTACAATTGTATAAATAAACAGTTTAATTAAAACAACTCAATACTTCTAAAAGAAAAACAAGAAAATATACATTTAAAAAAATACAATTAAAAGTAAAAATATGTCTTTGGGCTTGTTACGAAACCATAATATCTGAAAGCAAATACAGCATTAACAGAATTAACGGAAAATATTAATAGATTTGCTAGAGAAGATCAGACAGATTTCGCCAAGACAAGTTGGTTAGTGGGCTATTCATATACCAGATAACACTGTAACTTGTCTGAAGGAAAGTGACACTAAAGTATATCGCGAAAAGTATAACAGACATAAAAGACAACTAGAAAGGTAAGGGCAGCTGTTCAGAGCGGCCCTCCCTCTTCTCACAAAGCTGGAAAGTGAATTGACACAATAACGAAAAGTTAAATCATGTAGAAGATGTAATGTAAATGTAAAGTAAATTAAGAACAATATGCAGTAAGCAAAGCAAAGATGTAAGTAAGAAACATACAAAATAAAAACACAAACAATAAAAAATTCATTCAAAGTACAAAATAAAGAAGCATTCCAATCATAAGTGCAGGGTTTTATTTGTCTTTTCCACCATTGAACTGAAACAGATAAGTTGACAATAGATTAATAACGAGGAATTTTTAATTAACTTTGATGTATTCTCACCTTAATCAACTCGACTGTAGCGTTCTCCAAAGCAGGAAAAGCAAATCAAACAAGGAAGAACTGCACCATTCCAGATCTATTCTTGTTTCAGAGAAAGTTAAAATACATAAACTTTCAGGTGCTCTCATTAATTAGTTGAATATTAACTAGATAATGTTGCACAGTGAAGAAACTAATGCCCTCATTTGTCGGTCAGTCTATATAGAAATTAACAAACAAAAAACAAAATTAACTACGTCGTTAAATAAATAATACATTTAATTAGTTAAAAATACGCACCGAACAGTAAATGAAACACCAAAATTGAATTTAAAAGCATCACTTTTAAAAAACAAATAGACAACAAATTTTCAAACTACGTTGTCAAATTATTATCAATGGGAATAACCCATAGATGCAGAAAAACATCAATTTATGCTATGGATAATAGGGAGCGTTCTACTAACATTACATTCCGCTCAGCACGCCAATTAATTAAGTCTTTTCACGTTTTTGTAATTTATAAGGCTCTTCCGCTATGGTTGGGACTAAGCCCTTTTTCGTTGTAATAACGATGTTGTTAAGTTGCTAGCGTTCGCTATTATGAGTTATATCAAGTGCCAATAACTTAACGATATCGTTATTAAAAAATAGGATCCTAGGGGAAGAAATAAACAAGCAGTTTGAAACATTTCGTTTTACTGTTCCTGTGTATACGCCTTCATCAAATAATAGATATTATTTAGACCTAAGTCGGTGCGAAAAGCAGTTTACTTAATAATGAATAGTTTGGATTTTAATTTGGTAATTAAAGAATTGCGGCGAATATTTTCAACAAAACACATCATGTCATCATGTTAATGTCTTCAGCCTTCTTCGTAGTATCTCAAGCCAATGAAGAAAAAATCAAAAAATACAATAGGTAATCATATATGTAATATTTTTGGATATTTTAAAGAACACCATAATAAAGTAAATATTAATTAGAAAGCTGCTTTTAAAAAATGAAAACAAAAATAGGTACAATAACAGTAACTTAAAAGTAAAACAGTCGACTTGCATTTTAAGTTTGAGTTCCGAAAAGGGACATCTTCCAATGGCTTCAAATTTGTACCTTATTACCACATAAGTATTTTGACGACTAAAACCAAAAGAAGAAAAACTTTTTCTTTGGTGACAACTCAAAAGTCGACTTTGGAAGAGAAAAACACTCGAATTGACTTTAAATTTTAACCACACATTCTCTCTATTACAAAAAAAAATGGTAACGGAATCATTAATTCTGAATAAAACGATTTCTAACAAAGAAATTATCTAAAAAGTTCTAGAATGTGTACGTTTGAATATATTTCGTGAATCAGACACTTCAGATGATATTATTTGATTATAAAAAAAGTATTACGACAAAGTGAGTAGATAACTCTCTACGTGCGATATGTACGGGGTGATTTATTTAATGTTTCGTCCCCAGTTTTCACTGGGAGCTAAAAAGGTAATTCAAGAAGAAATGGAATTTAATGATTTTTTTAATGGTTTACTGAATGAATACAAGTACAAGCAGTTTCTTATATAGCCGTAGTCTCCTAATTGTAAAATTATATTTCTCTAATGAGAGTTCGGCATTTTAAATAAACCCGAAACGGATTAAGTGCCTCATGTCAACCACTATTCTGTCATTCATTTTTTTAAAGTAATACAAACTATTTTTTATAAAAAGCGCCGTAAGTACTAATTAGCTTGCGTTTTTTTTGATATCAGTCATATTTTTTTTGCTTTCTCAAAAATTCTTTAAACATTCAAACTCTTCGTAACACTAAAATAATAATGAATTAATTATTTGTACATATGTCGTGGAAAAGTTAATTATTAAAAGTATTCCGTTCAAATGGTTAACCAATAAAGGACGGGAATGGTTTCAAAACTCTTCTTTAACTTCCTTGGAAGAAATATTTTACAAATATGTAAAAGACAACAAAAAGTATCACTCAACTTTAGTAGACAAATTACCAGTACTAAGCTTCTGGAATCAGGTATGATTAGATTTATAAACGATTTTCTAATATATTTATGGCGTATGAATGTAATTGCGGAAAACAGCCACTGACGATTATTATACAAACGTGTTGTAAATTTTGCGCTTTTCTCACATTCTATTTCGGATAGATACGTTTTATATCTAACCACAATGCGAAATTACGGCTTAGGCAATGCCATGGTTGATACATCAAACTTTAAATCCCTTTTGACCCCTTTAGGAGTTGAATTTTATAAAATCTTTTCCTAGTTCTTGCCTATGTTGTGTAGTTCTATCCACACATTGAGTATTCGGCAAGTCCCAAGTACCTATTCGCCGAATACCTTTGGTGAAGCCAGTCCTCATCACGACTACATTGGGTCGCCCTACGAAGCAATGCAGCCCTACAGTCCGGCACTCATGTAAATGAAAAACATCCCACTATGGCGCAATCCGCTGCTGCCGCTTCCCATAAGTCCTTCAACAGACTAGCAATCAATTTAAAATGTACCTCCTTTGATAGACCGCAGTTTTACAGGCTACGCAATTACGTCCGAATCTACCAGCTTTGGGTACGTGCAGGGTAGGCAACCAGGACCCTCGCCATAGCGACAATGATATCGCGCACTTCCTCCCCCGTAGTAGCAGAGTTATCTGATTGCATCGTGGAAGAAGCCCAGACTCAAACTATAGCCGCAAATAATCCTACTACCAGTTTCACTTCGGAGACTATCCAAACCTTAACCAACCTGATACACGCTCTTCGGAAGGATCTGGATCACAAAAGACGATACATGACGGGAAAATCGAAAACCCAACCCCGTTTTTTTTTCCGGCGGCGTTCTAACAGTAACAACAGGGTCTATGCTATTACCACATCAAATTACAGGATAAGGCACAAGTATATATCCTACCATGTAGAAAGTCATCAGAAAACCAGCCAATTGTTGGCAGATTTAAGCATGCAGCAACTGCTGGATCGGATCACTGACCTCACCACCACTGGTCAGGTGACCAACTCCAGCTAACCCTCCGTCACTTTCGTCACAAATACAAAAATAGCCCCTTTCGTGTACCACAATTTACCGGAGCAATTTCCGTCATTAATTCGACCCAGCGGTCAGACCACTTTTCCCAATCCCAAGAGAGAATAATTCGAAAGCTTGGTACAACTACGTATCGCTCCAGCACCTCGACATCGCTGCTACACATCGTTCTAAAGAAAAACGATAAATGGCGCCCATGCGGAAATTACCGAACTCTCAACAAGAGAACTATCCCGACCAACATTGATGATTTTACACATAAGTTAGCAAACAAAGTTAACAAAAAACTAGTTCGAGTCTAAATCGGCAAATGGAATACTCTCTTTACCTGGTGGAGTGACGGCAATTATCAACTTCCCTAAATCAAGTACCATAAAGCAACTGCGAAGATTCCTGGATACGTTCAACTTTCTACAAAAAATTTCTGTTCCACGCTGTCCGCACTCATCCTGCTTTGAATGGGAAAAATAAAAGGAAATGCACAACTTCGGTGGAACCCTACGGCCGACGAGACATTCAACTCAAGCAAGAAGCAACTGGTACAATCTCCTCTTCTTCACCATCTGCATTGTAATGCTTCTGACCATTATATATACGTTGCGTTACAACAATTCCACAGAGAAACTTGGGAACGCCTAGCTTTTTTTTCCTCAAAACTCCCGAACGAAAGCATTCCCGTCATTTTCTCGAAGCCCGTGACTTCATTGTTTTTACAGATCATAAGCCCCACGCGTTTGCGTTTTGGTCAGAACCCTTACAAATGCTTCCCTAGACCCCGTCACGACATCTAAATATCATTAGCCAATTCTCATTGAATATTCAACATATTTCAGGAAATGGTAATTTAATTGTCGGCACACTCTCATGAATTTCTGTTCATTACGAAGCCCTTTCTTCCGAACATGAATCCGATATATGGCAATACCTTAATTCTAACTAGTCCCTACAACCAAAACAGATTCACATTCCCGGTTCAAACAAAGCCATTCTCTGCGATATTACAACTGGTACAACAAGACCTTTTTAGCTTCTACATTTCGTTTCATTGCATTCAAACAGTTACATTCCCTAATACATCCAGGCACTTGTGCATCCGTAAAGCTCACAGCACAATGTTTCATTTGGTCATCAGCGAACAAGGATTGTGCCAAATGGGCATGTGCATGACTGCCTTTCAAGAAAACCAAAGTTACTAGACACGTTTCTCGCCCCTTGGGCACCTTCGAATTACCATCAGAAAAATTTGATCACATCCATATCCACATAGACATAATACCCAGCTCGAAACCATTACTGTCTTATATATGTGTGTAGGCAGATTTACACTTTGACATGAACCGTTTGCCTTGGCAGATCAAGAAGCCGCTACAATTGCATGAACATTGTTCTAAGGATGGATCCGTCGTTTTAGCACACTTATAAGAATCCCCATGGACCAAGGCAGACAATTTGATTCCCAACTTTTCAGAAAGCTATCCCACTTAACAAACTCGCATCGCATCTGCACCACTGTCCACCACCCCTTAGCAAATAAAAGCCGCCATAATTTATCACCAGACCAATAGCTGAACTCGAATTCTTCTCACCGTTCTACTGCGTATCCGTGTGACTTGGAAAGAAGACTTTAAGGCAGTGTTGCCAATTCGAGGGATTTATCCCGATTCGAGGGATTTTTGACGTTCTCGAGGGATAAAGGGATTTTTCCTTATTTTTGCGGGGATTTTTTGTAATTTGCCACTTTCTGGTTGGTTTTGTTTGATTTTGTTGACATGATATTATATTATGAAGGCGCTCATTTTTCTAATTGTAAACGTAAAATTTTGTCAGCTATAATAGTATAATGCTGTAAATAGTTAAGCTATT